TCCCAGTGTCTCAGTGTCCCCAGGTCTCCCAGTGTCCCCTAGTTTCTCAATGTCCCCATGTCTCACAGTGTCCCAATGTCTCTGTGTCCCCTAGTGTCCTAGTGATATGGGGACACTGGGAGACATGGGGACACAGTCACTAAGGGACACTGGGAGACATGGGGACACATACACAAGGGGACACTGGGCGACATTAGTAAGGCCGGTATTTTTTTTCAAGAAAGGTGGCAACCCTTACTACTTTTCACATACTCTTTTTTTAAGTATGAAAACTTAAGAGGGATGTAGAAAAACAAAACTTGTGTGGACTGGCTGACAATGAAATTAGTTTAGGTAATGCTGACTTTGGTTCCTCTAACACTGTGGCATGTTACCTTTCTTCTACACTCACTACATACACCTTTTCTCTGTCCCAGACTATATATCAGGAGCTTCTGTCTGCTATTAAGAAGGTAAGGAGACAAGTGTACATGTGACTGCTAGGGGACAGTCTTTAGATAGAGTGGAGCGAATGCATCATTAAATGCATTTATGTGAAGCTCAGGGTACTGTCTGCATAGTAGGCCCGTAGTAGGCCCAAATTACTTAGGCAGACAGGCCCCCAATTTGGGTATGTTTGCCTCTTTCAGTAGTTCTGGTTACGTGATTCTCGTTAGTGGCCCACCCTTTTACCCGTCCATGGACTTCCTGCTTCACTTGACACTGTTGTTACGGGGTATGGATTTACTTGAAAGATGAAAGTGTGAAATTAGCATAGGGTATGTGTTATCTCCTATGAGTTTCCCTCCAGGACCATCTCCATCAGATACATGACGCTTGGGATGTAGGGCTGTTTTAGTGTTTTTGGTCAATAAGATTTTGTAATTAGTCCCATCATAATTGCCAGCACCAGGCCCACTGGGCTCTTAATCTGGCCCTGGAGTTACCAACCAGAACTACTTAAAGCCAGTCACTAAGTCGCATCTGACGGCTCTCATTATTCTCCACTTCAGCAGCTTACTGCTACTAGCTGACTCACCATGGATCTTTTAGCACATGCATGTATGCTATTCGGCATTACATGGGAACCCTAAAGCACATATCAAACCAAATCAAACTAATAAAATGAAAGAAAAGGCCCTTCTACATGATATGAAGCATAAAATGATTCTTTATATAAGTAAGTGCAAAAAAACTGAGAATTGCTGACACCTACGGGTAGACTAAAACTTAACATTTAATTGTATTCAAAAAGATAGAACTTAATAATCAGAAAAAGTAATACTAATACACATAAACAAAAGGACAAACCAAATTATATACAATATATAGAATTCCAATATATTTGCACATCCTGCACGTCTCGTGAACAGGAGCAGCTGGTCAGGCTAACTGTGAACCAGGGAAGGTAACACTCTACTTAGTAACAAATTAGGATAGATGCAACAAAACATCATTTCTAAAGCACTTTGCAATAGTGCAGAGCTAGACATTGCAATTCCCTTGAACGAAATTTGCAAAAAATGTTATGTAGTATTATAGAAATTGCTCTAGAGGAAAGCAAAAAGTGAGTACTAAGTAAGTACATACGTCATTTAAAGGAACATATCAAGTACCATAACCACTACAGCGCCATGATGGTTATGATGTTTGGAGTGTTTATTTAAAGGAACCATTAACGTAGTAAAAACAATTAAAATGTCTCTAGTACAAAATCACAGCTTAATACTTTGTATACAGTGTTGCAATCTGATGCTAAGGCCAATGACAGAGGGAAAAACACTTGTTCAGGGTGAGTTTTTAACTAGTAAGGTGTGGTTGCTATGGTGACAACTTGCACAGCCTGTGTTTCTGTGCTGTACCAATGAATGGCTAATCTGTGAGTGGTCAGTATGTGCGCAAGCAGTCATTACTAGACATGTGCAATTCGTTTCGGTCCGAATATGAATTTTGACGAATTTCGGGCAATTCGGACATTCGGGTACTTCCGAATGTCCGAACAGCCGAAGTCCCAAAGTTCAGAAATTACGAATTTCAGAAGTGTCGAAGTGCTGAAGTTCCGAAGTGCTGAAGAAGTGTCGACGTGCCGAAGTGCCGAAGTTCCGAAGCACAGTATTGCCTAAGTACTAATATACTCACCCAGTGGAAGAAGAATGTTACACTGT